TGGAAGGTTTGGATTCCCTGTAAGGAGTCCCTGAGAGGCCACTGTATAAAAATATGAAGGTGATGACTAATTTGAAATAGTTACCACAAGGATATTGGAGATGCCAGGACCATGGTCAGTTCTCTCAGGAACGTTAAAGGCATGGAGAGGAGTCAGTCCAAAAGATAGGCTATTATGGTCCTACATGTGGCAGAACCGGAAGGCTGAGGCTTTCCAAGGAATTGGCAACCAGATGATGCCATCATGAGTCAAAGATGTGGAGCTACAGTATTTGGTGTTTTTCCTGCTGAATTTTAGTCTTGCTTTTGTTCAGCGTTTCCTTGCTGTCCTCTTGTTCCTTACTTTTGGAATGGAAATGTTTACTCTGTGCTATTGCATATTGAAAATATATAGCCTATTTTTATTTTATTTTATAAGCACTCAAGAGATTCCCATGAGTCCAGAAGACACTATTTTTGAACAGTGTTAGGTTTGTTAAAGACCATGGAAACATCTAGACATGGACTATGCATATAGTGCAGTTTGATATGAAAATTAGAATTTAGGGGACAGAGGTGGAAACAAGCCTCTGAACATGTGTGTGACAGCATTTCCATACAGGATTAACTAAGAAGAAAGACCCATTCCTTAATGTGGGCCCCACCATTCTATTGACTGGAGTCCTCAACTGAAGAAAAAGGAGCAAGCAAGCTGAGCACTGGCATTCATGTCTCCCTCCTTTCTGACTTTGGTGGAATGTGATCAGTTACCTCACATTCCTGGTGTCATTTCTTCCCCACCATACTGGAATATACATTTTCTTAAACCATTAGTCAAAATAGTCTTCAACCCATAAGTTGCTCTTATCACATATTTTGTCACAACAATAAGAAAAGAAACTCATATAGACACCAATAATAAGCAGTTAATATCCTCATTGACCTAGAGAACTTACGTTAAATGCCTTAAAGTTTGCACTAATTCATGGTTTGTGGGTAAAGGAAAAATCACAAAGGAAAAATAGGGAGTGTAGCAGTTGCCAAAATGTCAGTATTAGCATGGAATTTGATATGTGATATTTAAGCAAATACATATTTTTGTATCCCATTGTTAATTGTTTTCATTTCTATTGCATGACTCTTATTGTGCTAAATATTATATTCATAAAGTATCCACTTTATACATCTTAACTTTTTCTTACAAATCTTATATAATTCACAAGTCTCTACGGGAGCCATTATATTTTACTATATACTTCCTTATATCTGTTTCATGGCTTTGGTATCAAATGTGAAGACACATTTAAAAGAATATAAAAATTGATCCCTATTACTTACTTTTAATATATGTGAAAAAACCCAAAGAAAATCCAGAAATAACCAGAGACTCTTCCATTATTTTTTGTTTTCCAAGTAAGTTTAACTTACTTGACAGCCTGGATAAAAATCATCTAGGCAGCTTGATATAATAGAAAAAGCACAGATAAACTGTGGCTGCATTTCTAACTCCATTGTGTGCTAGCTCTGTGATTCTTGGGAAAATTTTTGGCTCCCTTGAACCTCAGTTTTATTTCCTTATGTGAAGATAAATAACAAAATATTATTATTATGAGACAGAAATGAAATGCTATTTAAAACACTTTGAAAATGCAAAGGATTATGCTAATTTCACTCTTAATAAAGCTACTAATGTGTTTATTATAAGTCACAATACAGAAATCATGTTTTAAAACTTGTAACATTGAACCTCTTTATTATAATTAAAAACAGAATCACAGAGTATAGGTGCTGCAGTAGAACCTGGAAACAATATATTTCCTCCTATAACCCTGTACCAAGTGAGATCTTAGGGTCCAGAGACAAAAAGAAGTTTAAGCTATACAAACAGACTGTAGTGAAAAATCAGTATTAGAATCGAGATTCTCTTTCATCTAGCTCAGTGCCTTAGTTAGTTTACTATAATGCCTTAATTGATGGACCTGAAAACTTTATGACTTTTGTTTCATACTTGCCTTTCAGTGACCTGAACAAAAATAGCAGTATGAATTTCTAAGATTCCTTCTTTTTAAAAAATTATATTTTGCTGGGTGTGGTGGCACACGCCTTTAATCCCAGCACTCGGGAGGCAGAGGCAGGCGGATCTCTGTGAGTTCAAGGCCAGCCTGGCCTACATAGTGAGTTCCAGGACAGCTGGGGATACAGGGAGACCCTGTCTCAAAAAAGGCCAAAAAATTATGTTTTATTAATTATTTGAGAATTTCATGCAATGTGTTTTGTATTGTTCATATTCACCCCCTCAACTCCTCCCAGATCCAGCTTCACTTCCCTACACAACCAACTTCACAACTTCATGTATTCTTTTATTTAATCCCATCCAGACCAATTTATGTTGCTCAAATACTGTTGGGTATGGGGCCATCCCCTGGGGTATGCTGGACCTACTAGAGTCACTTCATTAAATAAAACTGATTGTCCTCCTCTAGCAACTATTGATTCCCAATAGCTTCTCAGATAAGGATGGGACTTGATGCCACATCCCTCCTCCATGCTGGAGTTTTGTCTGACTTGACCTTGAGTAGGACTTGTGCACATTGTCATTATTGTTATGAGTTGATCTGTGGAACTGCACTGCTGTCTGTAAAACACTGCTTCCTTGTATTCATCCACTACCTCTGCCTCTTAGAATCTTTCTGCCCTCTTTTCTGCAATGATCCCTGAGCCTTGAGGGAAGAGGGTGTGATATAGATATCCCATTTAGGGCTGAGAACTTCACAATATCTTATTCGTTATGGGTCTCTGTGTTAACTGACATCTACTGCAAGAAGAATTGTCTCCGAGGAGGGGTGAAAGATGCACTAATCTATGGGTATAGTGATAAATCACCACAGAGTCTTAGTCTGTTCTTGATAAGCTCAATTTGGTATAGTTCTTCCACATAATGGATGAGTGAGGAGCTTTGTAGGATATACCCCTATCTGAGGAGCTACTGATAGATAATCGCTACTAGGAGAGGGAGAGTCTTTTCCTTCTGTGCTATAGTCACTGGTTAGTATCCCATGGTGTAATAAATAACCTCCCACCCGTGCTCATGCAAACAACCCTAATTAGAGTCAGTGGATCATAAGAACTTTTGGGAGGAAGAGGAATTCAGTAGGAATAAGAAGGTGATAAGTGAGGGTAATAGTGTCTGTATATGATCAAAATACATTATATTCATGTATGAAATTGTCAAAGAATAAATAAAATATGTTAGAACAGAATCTTTCTTCTTGAGATCATGTTACTCTAAAAGAATAATGTAGAAGGTCATTCTTCTGTATATGTTTACCTTTCTGTCAGTGTATTTTCAACTATTTTGCAGATCCTGATGCAACAGGTAGGAGATATACGAAATGTGGACTAATTGGGAAGTCAACACTATCTCTTAGGGACCTGCAGATCTGGATCTTGCTAAGAGTAGCAAAGAGAAAATAAGAGACCAACTAGCACAGTGGCCATCACATGATAAATAAGTGGCAATTTTATTCCATTCTCTTCACATTACTATGGAAACTTATTGTCTACAAAGTACTTTAACATTTATTACCTCAGTTTATTTTCACAAAGGCTATATGAGGGATGGATAGTGTTTACATTATTGATGAGAAAATAGTCTCAGAGATAGAAAATTAATTGCCTAAATTTATGGTTTGTGAATAAGAAACAGAATTGTAATTTCAACTTAGTTTTTTGACTTCAGATAAAGCATTTTTGACAGTATACCATAATTGCATATGATTTTAATATGCCCAATGAATTATAAGAAAATTAAAGTTGTGGTTAAAAGTTAATACCACAAGGAAGGCTTTCTGAATCTTAAGGTTGCAAATTAACAAAATAGGCTTATATCTTTCATTGAAAATATCTAAATGGTTCTAAATTACAAAGCCATAGACACTTCAATTCTGTAGATTGAGAAGGTGTCTAAAAGCATACAACATGAGTCTACAATCACTCAGAATGAATCTTGCATTGCTTCTTTTAACTAATGAAAGAAAACATTTCAAAATGGAAGACTTCATTTCTATAGTTACAAAAGACATACCTACTCTGAAAAAAGATGATTTCCACTTATGTGACATATGGAAAATGTAGGAGGAAAAAGTTAAAAAAGTATAAAACATAGGGTCCTTTTTTTTCTTTTCTTTTCTTTTTTTCTTCTTTCTTTGTCTTTCTTTTCTTTAATTCCTTTGTTTCTTCTTCCCTCCCTCCTTCCTTGCTTCTTCCCTTCCTATATTCATTGTACTCTGGTGATCAAACCCAGGGCCTCAGGCATGCTAGGGAATCATTCTATCATTGCACTATACCCCTAGCTGGACAGATGCTATCTATATTACTGAGAATAATTGCTTATTTCTCTAAGTCTGTTTCTTTCAAATTTTATACACTAAGGTGGATGAAACATTTTCTGAATGTATCATGCAAACGTTCTTTGGCAAATGAAGTAGAAATACAGTTCTTTATAATAAAGTCACGAAATTGTGTAGTCATAATTTTATCTCTTCATTTAGCTCTTTTTAATCATACTGCTAGAAGTCAGAGAGATCTGAATCTAAATACAACTTTGAACTTGAGAGATGTGTGAGTGTATGTAAGATAATTGCTGTATGTGAGTAAAACATACATATTTTCTACATAATTACATTGCTATGAGTTTTAAATGGGCTATCAAACATATAACTCTTAGTACTTGGTCATTAAACTCAATAAATTACACCTTCTTTCCTCTCACCATATTCTATGCTAATCTCCCATGAACTTCAAAAGATTGCATGTTTTTAACTTAGTAAGATAACCCTATTACGTTTTTAAATTTTTCCCTACTGGTCTGATAGCTCAACCTTTCTGGAATTTCAAAAAGTTAGCTTTCTCATAAAAGTAAAGCCTCAGCTTTTCATCTTACGCAGATCATCTTATCACTACAGTACATTCTTTCTAACACCCATTGCCACCACCACAAGCAGCTACAACCGAATTACCCACCTCTTAACATATCAGTCATTTTCAATGTCTATTATACATCTTCAGCAAGCTTAATTCCTTGGATGCCTTTAGTCCACATCTGTAGTTCTTCCTAGTGTTGTTTATCCACCACAAAATGGCTTTTATCCACTGTTGCTAAGGCAGAAATGTCAAAAAGAGTCCATATCTTTGTGGAAAGGTGTTTCCAATAGAGTCACATGAATAGAAGGCAAACCTATAGTAAGAAGTTGATAAATTGAACTCCAAAACACATTTTACTAATTCACTTTCATAGTCAGGGCAGAAGAAGATGTAAATATATAAACCAAGATCTGTTCAATCAATGAGCTAAAATGAAATATAACATTCTTTCAGTCTTATAGATATTAACATGGACACTATTAAATAGGTCTGGGAAAACTTACCTTGCTACGGTGGATAAGACACAGCCTAAAATAATAATAGCTAAATTATATTTCTAATTATGAACTTATACATAAAACCAGAAATGAGTGGTGAATTTAAGGATGTCTGCTTCATTTAGAATTTATTAAGAAGCAAAATGTTTTTATATAAACCTAACATAAAACTTTCAGATTAGCTATGACTAGTTCTCTATTTTTTTCTTCTTGTTGACTTTTCATACAAGTGAAATAATATAATAAATCTTAAAATATTGCACTTAGAATACACATTAATTCATAACCATTTGACAGGCATCATATTTCTACTCTAGAACAACTTCTTTTTCTTTTCTTCTTTTTCTCATCTCTTCTCTTTTTGTTTCCATTCTTTTCTTCCATGAACTGAAGTTGCCAGAAAATGCTACACTTATGTTCAATATTCTGCTGGTTGATTAGAAATTCATAACTGTAGAGGCAGGGAATGTTACAAATCCAAAGTTAAATTGTGATGGGCTATCTTTAGTACCTCAATAGCTATCTCAATAGCTGTTAATTAGCCACCTCAGTATCTGACCTAATATCTTTTCAACTATCTGGTAAAACTTTGGAATGTATTAACAGAACACCAGCTTTACAGACTCAAAGGCTAAGAATGTCATAATATCTAAAATGTATCTTAGAGTTTTCCCTGATTTGCTTTGCCCAGCTACCTGATGTTTCCGTGAATGAATTTGGAAAATGCTTTAACTTATGACATATTTTTGTCCTGTAACTATAAAAGTTCAGGCATCTGCTTCACATTGGAACATGTTATTTGGGGTAAGTTGATTCCATTTTCACAGGCCAGAGTAAGTCATATTTTTCTCAGAGTAAAGCATCTCATATTTTCTTTGAAGTGAAATCTGTGTTTGGTATAGTTTTGGTACTCATGAGTCAAGATGATGACCTGCTTTCACCGGAGAAGTCACCTGAGTCAGTGTCAGGTACCAGCATGAACATTTTTTTTTGCCCAACTGCTTGTATTGTCCCTTTAGGTGAATGTTGGTAAGATTATTTTTTTTGGGTCCTGGATCTCCTTTGTTTTGGCCAGTGGTCCACTGGTTTGTTCTGAGCTGGTTTTGAATATCTTTATTTTGCTTGAGAGAATTCAATCACACTATTTGATTTTATTGTTTGTTTCAAAGCATTTAATCAGAGCACTTGTTTATTTGTTAGTATTCTGTCTTTTTCTCTGTCACTCTTTCAATATCTAATTCTTAGAATTTTGGGGAGGCCATTTCTTCCTTTATGCATCATTGGCATTTTTAGTTTAAAAATTCTGTGAGTCCACTTTCCCTCACCCAACAGTAGTCAGTCACCAACAGTTCCAGTTTAGGGCCAACCCACCTCCCATTTCCCTCTCTCCCCTCTGGGCCCTTGTTTGATTGAGTTGTCATGGGTCCTGCACTCGAGGCCACCATTGCCACAAGTTCATATGGGCAAGGTTCCAGTGGCCTGAAAGCCTCTGTTTCCCTATGTCCATGGACCAGTCCTGGCTCTGACAATATTTCCACCCCCCTCTTCCACAATGGTCCCTGGGTTGTAAGCGGGTGAGGTTTAACATAGGAGTCCTATCCAAGATCTCTAGATAGGCTGACTAGACTCCAGTGGATGAACTTGCACCTAAGAACATCTGGATACCAATGCTTGACTGGATGGGTCCTAACATGTATGATAGAATACATGAGGTCCAGTGGGGGGGATTTGGGGATATGGCTTGGGAAGGGGGTCTAAATTTCATTAAGAGCTGACAAAATGGACAAAAACTCAATAAAAGTATAAAAAAATCTTCACGTGCTCAATTGTAAAGACATTTAAGGGGTATTTGATCTCTTAAGTCCAACATAGGAGATGTGTCACAACGAACTTCCAAGCACAAGCAACTGCCTCATAAGGAAAAGTCAAGACAATGTACATCTATGTGTGGCATAGAAGGCAGGCACCTTATTGGTTCAGTGGGAGAACACATTTAAGTGGTAATCAGTTAGTGTCTTGAATCCTCTCATTTGTCCATGCAGAAAATCATAAGACACAATGAGAAGAACCAATCTCGGGGTGAGAATTGAGGGAGCTCCTCCCATAAACAGCTCAAATATCTGGTACAAAACACAAATGTGTCCAGCTAGCAGAGAAAAATGCAGTTTTAGGAAAGAAAAGAGACACTAAAAAAGGAAATATAAATCCAGTCCAGAGAGAACTGCACAGAGAAAACACCCACCACTTGGCACTCCAGCTGGCTTTATGTTTGACAATTATGGTAATTTAACTTGCAAGTACTTGGAAAAGGGAACATTTGATCCAATTTCCAAATTGGTGCAGGTTTTTTTTTTTGCATGCTAAACTAGAATTTCTAGGTAATAGAATGAAAGATCACTGTTATAAAAGATGATAAAGCAGCAGTCAGTCTACAAGGAAAGCTGACAATTCCCTTTTGTGGGGTTTATTATAATGAAAATGCTTAAGGCCAAAATTGGGTGTCAAGGTTGGAGGGAGCATACCAGATAGCAATAGTACAATATATGGAGAAATCTAATATATACTATCTAAGAGAGATGAGGTGGGATCTAATATCTCCAGACCAAATCCCTGAGGAGTCTTGAACCAATCCAGAGAACAAAGAAAAGCTATGACTTTTAGAGGTGGTGGGAAGTTTCACATAACATGATTTAGCTCAGCAGAGAAGATGTGAGAAGGAACATGGAGGAGCCAAGTACTATATATTAAGAAATGTCAGGTTACTGTACAGAAGTGTTGTCTGTTTCAGGCTTTGTGATCAGGCCTAAAGGTGAAGTTCCATGTTCCGTCACAAATGGGAAATGTATTTTATCCAGAATTTAAAAGAAACCAGAAAAAGACAAGAGAAAATTGTTAATTAAAAATAAAAAAGTAAAAAAAAATATATTAGAGAATGTGAAAATGACTTTTCTGGGGATGGCTTCTGTTACAACTGGGAATTTTACCTAACGTTGACCAAAGTTAATGTTATGTTTGCAATCATTCCATGCATCTGTTCCAGGCATCTGTTCAATATGCCTTCCTACTGATTAGCTTATTTAAATTAAACTAGCCTTTAGGAAAAGAATCTTACTAGTCTTTGGGATCCTTTTGTAATCAACTTTTAAAAAATTTAAGCTAAACAGTAACTTTAATCTTAGATTATGTTCCCCATTTCTCCCTTAGGATGCTTCCTTGCCCCAGGCTCAGAGTAATGCAAGTGTGTGTGTGTGTGTGTGTGTGTGTGTGTGTGTGTGTGTGTGTGTGTGAAAATACCAGCACTAGAAGCAGCTGATTATCCACAGTTTATGTTGAAAACAGCGTGTGGGATTAGATTGATAACATCTGTTTGTGATTGTGTATACTATTCTGGGTCAGTAGGGGTAAGAAAGAAAATTCTTCCCTGATAAGACAAAGCTCCTCATTTCTCTCCCATTTCATTTCATGCTGGGTGTACTCCTGAAATAAAGTACACCATTGGTTTGAAGAATAGTTCTGAGAGAAATCAGAAGGAATGAGTTCTGAGGACAGATCGGGCTCACTTGGTTTAAAGGACTTCAAGAATCAGCTTGTCTTTATTCAGGCACTGCTGCACTGTGGCATCTACCAAAAGAGAAGAGCAATATTTAATTAGGAAATTAATAAGAATAGTTTAGTTCTTTGTCAGAACTAAAGATGAATTCTGAGTAGTCTTACTTTTATCAACTCCCTATGCTTATCTTTTGTTCTCTGAACTTTCTTCCTCGTCTATCACTTTCTTTTATCCTCTTCTCTAACAAATATCAAGAGGAACAAAGCTCTACATTGAAAAAAGAGTGTAATAGTTCCTTTTAAGGTGTAACCTAGAGAGAGAAGAGACAAAGTAAGAGCTAATAAATTTTGATTTGGGATTTTCTGAGTCATATCAGTACCGTCTAGAATTTGCTAATGATCACATTATTGACCTAAAAAACCAGAATTTTCTTATACTTACAAATTAATTTAAAATTACATTTTGTAAATATCCTCCTCTTCCATATTTCTCTCTCTCTCTCTCTCTCTCTCTCTCTCTCCCTCCTCTCTCCAGCTTCTAAAATATGAGCGAAGAAAGAGATAAGATGGCAGACCAGAATTCTCTCTGCATGAGCCAGTGAAGGGAAGAATCAGAATGTAAAGCAAATTTATCTCCAAAACAGAAATAAGTAAATGTTTTGGAAATTCATAAAGAAAGTGAAAGTATTTTGGGCTAGAAAAAAGAGATGTATGACACTTAGAAACCAGACACACCTTCCAGCTGGTGTGTGTTGGAAGGGAAGTTGTTTCCAAAAGAAAATAGAAATACAATTGAAATCTTTACAATTCTTTCCTCAGAACAAGCCAGCAGTTCTCACAAACCACAAATCCAGTTGCAGTTTTTGGTGAGACAGTGATTCCCTTAGCAGACACATTGCCTTAGGACTCAAAAGCAGTCACTTTAGGGAGAATCTACTGTTGAAAATTGAGCTGAATAGGAGACTAAGACCAGGAAACTTTCACAGGTTGGGGAACTTCATTTCAATATTCCCTATGCCCTTGGTAAGAACAGGATGGCTGGACCATGATAAGATGAGGAATATATGTGGTAGCAAAATGGCCTCTGCCTTGGAAGTGCACATAATAAGAGAAGCCCCATTCCTTAGTAACCAGGAGCAGAAACCATCAACTGAAAATAACTCTGGAGTTTGATAGCTCTGAGCTTGAGGCCAGTGGGTTACTAAAATTATGGAGCCACCTATATGTCTTTCACTGTTGGAGACACTATTGTACAGTTTTCTGAAAT